TTGAAACTTTTCAACCCAACCAAACCCAGCCCAATTGGTCGTGTTGTGTTTAAACAAAATAAAATCCACGTTGAGAACATAAAAATAAATGAAACCCTCATTTGTAATACGATCAATCATCCAAGAGAATGTATATGAGTTCATCAACTATTTAGGTATTACATATAACTTTCCAATAATGTCCTCTTATGAGTTCCATTGCTCCTTGTTGCTGAGTCATTTTTTGTAACATATACATAGGGGGTGTTTGGAATTGCTTATTTAAAGTGTTTATTAACTTATTTCGGTGTAGTACCGGTAATAAAGAGTTTTTAGTGTTTAGATGGAGGGAAAAAAAAAGAAATGCTTATACCGGTTAGACACTGGTAATAAGAAGTTTTTAATGAGTTACTTCCTTTTAACTTATTAACTTATTCCAGATACCGGCAATAAGGAGTTTTAGTGTTTGGATGAGAAAAGAAAAGGGTGTCTTTATCTATTTTATCAACTTATCCATATCTAATGTGATACTGTCATAAGCTAATTCAAACACTTTTTATGAAACTCCAGTTTGCCACAATATAAGTTGATAAACACTATTACAAAAAAAAAAACATAAGTTGTTTTAAATAAGCAATCTCAAACACCCCCATATTAAAGAGAAATACAAATAATTTTAGAGAAGTTGCTAAAACTTTCATCGAGTTATCGCGTTGGTCGGGTTACTTTAGGCCTAACCCAATTTCAACCAAATAAATTCAATTTGGCCTAATTTTACATCAAATAAACACTACCAATTAACAACAATTAATTATTTTGAACAAATAAAATATATTTAGAAACTAAGGGGTCGTTTACCAGACACTTACCCGGTAAGTACCTATCGGTAAAATTCAATACTATTATTTACTTACCGGATAAAATTTTAGTTAACAAAAACGACTTTCTATGCAACAATTTATCCGGTAAGAGCTGATCGTGGTAAGAGTCATTGTCCTCACTTACCGGGTAAGACTCTCAGTCCTTGCCTCGTTCTTACCGGATAAATTTTTTGGTTCTTAGCATATTCATCCAGTAAAATAATATAATTTGATAAGTGCTTACCCAAATAATCATTTGATAAACCGACCCTAAAAAATATAATGAAACATGCCTTTGTCTCTTCAAAAATCAAAGAAGCATCACTCACCACCAACTCGACTTCACCATCACATTACTTATTACTTTTAAAAGAGATGTCTACATCAAAGCTTAAATAAGCTCATTAACAAGATACTAAAAATTGCATTTACACCCTCAAGGTTTACCTTCATAGCACTTTACACCTCAATTTTCAAAGTTTCTAACGATTAAGTCCTTGTGATTTTAAATATTTGATCGATAATCAATATTACTATTGTAGTAGTAAATTTGAATGCTATCCCGTTTGACGGTATCGAGACTATTTACGTGTATCTTCGACCAATACATCATTTTCACATTAAAACTTATTTTTTAGAATTTTTTTGTCAAAGAATAGATCATATTTTGCACAATTTTAATGTTATAAATAGCAAAGAAAAAAAATAAATTTTGTGTAACACTATTCATTTAACACTGCTTTCTGTTACCAAAGTTAGTGGAATAAGAAACATGCTTATATGTACTTCTTAAAACTTAAGTATATCACATTTAATTATTTTTCCCAATTTGCATATTATATATACTAGAAGGTACTCGTGCAATGTAGCGAGATCCATCTTGATTTTAATATTTTCTTTTTTTCTTTATCTCAGTCGATGATATAATATGATATTATGTGATTTTGAAAATGCGACAATGTTTTTATTTTTGAATAAAATATAAATTTGAAGATATTATAAAAATTTGACAAAAATATATCGATATTAGTATCAAATTAATTATTTAAAGTTTTTCATTTTTTGTGTAAGTTTTTAATTCAAAATTTTATTATAATTCAATTTAGGTTCAATAACGAATTAATTTATATTTGGTTTAATAATATATTTTTTTATAAATATAATAATTAATTATTTTGTTATAATTCGATAATTATCTTAATTATATTTTTCGATTTTTTATATTTTAAAATGAATGGTTTATCCTCTATTTGATTATGTTTATCCGCAGTTAGTTACACGAATTCAAACATAGCTTTAATAATTAAGTTGTAATTATGTATAATTTATTTGTAATCTTGAATTTTAAATAATCTGCATCAATATACAGTACTTCATGCATAAAAAATAGTTTTTAAGAGTTTTTGTCAAATGTTTTATAATATAGTGTGTGTGTGTGTGTATATATATATATATATATATATAACTGAACATAAATACAAAGAAGTTATATAGAGATGGAGAATAAATTGAATATATATGTATATGAAGAGGGTATATAATGATGTAATTGTCTAAAATGTACATATTAATAGAGACTCAACAATCATATTAAATCCAAAAAATAAAAGAATATCGGGTTCATTAAAAGTATCCCAATGCCTATGATTTGGAGAGTTTATAACTCGATTAAACATTGAATTGTTTCGGGTTGAATTATTTTGCGTTGAGTCGGGTTTTTAAAGACTCCTAACCGGAGATGTCCATTTAGAGTATTTTTGCTCTCATAATATATATTATGTAATGTTTAATAATTAATTATTAAAATGCTCATGTATCTTTTGGTAGTACTTCATTTTTGTTTTCGTTTTACGTTTTCTAAGAAAGTAACAAAATTGGACACAAGACAACGTCTAACAAATGCCTACATTTATAGAAAACCAAAAATAGTTGACTCAAGATTTACATAAATAAAACACGTGGTAATTATTTGAATATAACAAAATTGGATTTATATGACCCGCCAATAATTAAGCGTCTTAATAGATCATTTTATAGGACCAAAAAGTGTAAAACATTTTATCTAAAAGCGTTGTCCTAAGTTCATCAAAGCAATTGGGCGTTGTAACAAGTTTGTTAGGACACTTCATAAAAAAATCATATTAGCTGTTTAAAAAAATGTCCTATAAAAAGATGGGTTTATCGGGCACTTTCTCAAAAGTGTCCTATAAAATAACTAATGCGACGTTTTATATTAAAAATGTTCTAAAAAACTTATTAAGACACCAAAAAAACGTTATATAAACTTATTACAACGTCTTTAAATAGAATGCTTTATTTTTTAGTCTTATAGACTATGTCTTATAAAGTGGTCCATTAGGATGCTTATTTATTGGTGATATTCTATAAACCCAATTTTATTGTAGTGTATATTTTTATACACAACACAATTTTGAGTTTTGAGTTTAAAATTTTAACTTAAAAAAAAAAAGAGTTGTTAAATGTATTCTGTGATGAAAGTTGCCGGTTTGATGAAGTAGAGGAGAACAAGTAGTTTCATTTATCGCCCTCTATTTTGTGTCAAAAAGAAAACTAAGTTTGTTATCTTTTTATTAAAAAAATTGTAAAAGTGATACAAACAGTAATTTTTTTTCCAATGGGACTTTCTTTGTGTTTGATATTATGTACGGAATCAACCGGGTATTTTAATTCAGTTGAATTTAATTAAAATGAATTGATTTAGATTTTAGATTTCATATGTTTGTCAATTACAAAAACAAACAATCTTATTGATTTAGATTTCAGACTTCAACACCATTTTTTATAAATAAGAAATGAAATCAAACTTCCAAGTTGAGCATCTCTTAAAAAAACAAATGTCACATATATTTTACATTATTCTAGAATATTCTAGGTATTTTCTTATTATCTCTAACTATATACATGTTCCATAATACCCTCATATTTACTAACTTTACAAATTATACCCATCTTTTTGTTATTTTTATTGTAAACGTCATAATATATATATATATATATATATATATGTTATCAAAATAAACTATAAGTTCATAAAACAAATATTTCATTAAATAATAAAAGTTACATTATGCATCTAAACAATAATGCATAAACATTGGAATTACAATAATATTTCCAGAAACGATCGACTAACACAAAGCTTATTTATTTTTGATTTGTCTATGAGGAGCAAAAAGTTATTGGAACTGGCTACCATCATCCATCATGGGTCTCGACATGTACATCTCGTAATTAGAGAACTTTGAAGACTCGTTCAACATCTTTGCTACATGCTTCTTGTTGCATAGCAAAATATTTATTTTTCGATCACGTGGCTCGTGTTGATAAATCATGTTACAAACACCCAGACTAACCCCTTAAGTTTTTTGTGTGGTTGTTTAAGAACATTTTCAACAGATTTTTTAAAATAGAGATTTTTTACTTTAACAGATTCCTAAAACCTTCTACAAAATGAAAAAGTATGAGAAATGATAAAATTCTCCAAAAATGATTTATTTTGAGAAAGAAATGTCTTTTATTCATTCTATCAATGAGATTGTTAGAAATTAAATGTTTAGGAAAGTCAAATAATATTTTATGAGTTGTATGAAATATTATTATAATATATTTAGTTGTGTAATCTTTAAAATAGAGAATCTGTTGGAGATGGATTTTTTGTTGTTGAAGATTTTGACTTTTTAAGCCTCTATTTTGGAGAATCTGTCAGAGATGAGAGACTTTTCTCACAACAAAAAAATGTTAAAAAATAAATAAACATACAACAAGATTTCCTTAATGTTAATAATTATTTATAATAAGAATGTGAATGTTTGAAAAAAAAATACTAATATTAGTTTTTCCATTTTATCCTTTTTGTATCTTAAAAAGTTAATGGTGATGTAGTAAAGACCTAATTGATAAAGAATTTCTAAACAGAGGGCCAAAAAGCAAAACAAAATAGTATAGGTACTAAAAGTGAATATTTAAATGAACAAACAAGTAGATTCTACACTTTTTACCCTTTGGGTTTTGGAATATTCCAAAAGATACCCTCGCATGTTTATCGTGGGGGGCGGAGCGTTCAAAGACATGTTTGCCCTTCTTCACCAACTCCTCTCTTTCGCTCTCTATTTAGACATAACCACCGAAAAACAGAGCGCCGAAACATCTGTGATTTTTCCCCTCTCTCTCTTTCTCTCTCCGATCTAATCCGATCTCAGTGAAATCAGATCAATGGCGCCACCTTCTTTGGTTGCTAATGGCGGTGATATAGCCGTCGGAAAATTGCCGGTGACTAGCCGTGTGTCTTCGGTGTACAGTGAAGTACAGAACAGCCGTCTCGACCATCCGCTTGCTCTCCCATCCGTTTTCGCAAAGCCTTTCAAAGTTGTCGATGGTCCTTCTAGCTCCGCTGCTGGAAATCCAGGTATTTTGTAATGTAGGTTCATTTTCAGCGAACTATGATTTTTTCTCCTGTATATATATATGAAGATTGAATCAAGGTTTTTATGTATTAACACATTGGATCTGTGTGGAAGATATGTGGAAAATTTATCTGCCAATTACATTGTGTTGTTGTTTGGATGGTTCTTATATCAGTTTTTTTATTTGAATTAGTTTAGTTTGAATTTAGATTTAGATCCTCCGTCCACATAGAAAGGCGAAATGTTAGTTCTACGGGATCGCGGATGAAGGCTTCTTGTGAACTTTGGAACTGTCGTGTCTTGTTTAGGTCAACGAAGATCGAAAAACAAATACTTGTATAATCTTCTCTGTGTTCCTTTTCTTTCTATTTCGTGAGATGGATCAACTGCAAACTTACCCTCAAGGCATGCCGGCAATTAGCATAAGGCGGATAAAATGATGCTATTAATTTTTTTTATTCTTAATACGTAGAGGGAGAAAAAAAGGTAGTCCGATTCAGAGGCTAAAACTTTGAAAATTTACGATTTACTAGTCAATGAAGAGAAAAAGAAATAACTTTCAACGCGGTCAAATAACAATGGCTAAAGCGTGGTATCGCCTGTGGTTATTCCCTGAAGCCTACCCACAGGGATTTTTTCCTCTTTCTGAATATCTGACTTTTGCCTTTTAGAAAACTTCTGTTGTATTTAGCCTTCGAATCGGAAAAATGATCTTTTGGTCATGGAAGTCAATTTGTATCACTTTTAGTCGCTTCGTTCTGTTAAGGTTGTACTCGCTCTTTTTTATTTATTTTTTATTTTAGAAAAGAAGGCTCTATAGAAGGAATCTGAGGTAATCTTTGTTGGTTTTAACTTCTGCAGATGAAATTGCAAAACTTTTCCCGTCCCTGTTTGGACAACCTTCAGCAGTGTTGGAGGCCAGCGAAACAAGTGATCCAGGATCAGCCTTGAAGATAGGAGTGGTGTTGTCAGGAGGGCAAGCTCCAGGAGGACACAATGTTATATCTGGGATGTTTGGTAAGCACTCCAACTTTTGATTGCCTATTTTTAGAAACGTCTATGTGATCCAAATATTTAGTAACCATCCATCTTTTTTCTCCACCCGTTGTAGATTACTTGCAGGAACGCTGCAAAGGAAGTACTTTATATGGGTTCAAGGGTGGACCAGCTGGGATCATGAAGGGAAAATACGTGGTGTTAACCCCAGAGTTTATTTATCCATACAGAAATCAGGTACATATATTTATGAATATACATATCCTTTTACTTCTACACGAAATTTATCTGCTTTTAGCTCAAGGTTAAAGCCTTGCATAGGCAATGTAGTGGACGCAGATGGATTTATGCATGTACATGGCTACAATCCTCCAATATTACATTAATCTTTGCAGTAGGGTTTATTTTCCTGGTTACCTGATATAACCCCATCATCTGTATTTGTATCAAATGGTTAATAAATTGAATATCCATATCAGCTATTTGATAAGCTTGTATAGTATCCAAGCTTCCACGTAAAATCTTTTAACATCTACATAATATCCAAGCTAACTGGAAAATATCAGATCCAAAAAGTAATTCTGAAAATATCAATGAAAGAGCTCAAAGTCTTTGGAATACACAACACGAATTCAGTTCTATATCTTTTTGACTAAAACCATTCTAAAGAAGAATGAGATAGTTCATGAAAAGACCATTATTTTTCCAGCACTTAATTTGTACCAAGTTCATCTTATAGTTTGCCTTGTTATAACCTAAAAAATAGTGCATGCATCTCTCTATAGTTCAAGTTAGATAATATAAATATGGACCCTAATTCACAACAAGAGCTAGTTTTGGATCATTTTTATGTAGAGTCTGTGCCAGGTAGCAGATGAACCGTGCATTCGTCACTGCAACCTAACCTAAGCAGTTATCGCTGTGCTAAACTGGAATCCCTTCAAGTCCTTGATTTGCTAAATCGTAAAAGCGGCGGTGAAGTGGTGGTATAATGGAATTGAATAGTGGTTCACATAATAAATAAAATATTTATGTATATGCAGTAATTGATAAATGCAATACATCTCTAATGGTAATATTCATTTTACAACATCAAAACATAAAGTCTTCCATGATTAAGCTTCAAAAATAAAACATAAGGTCACATATCAAGTCACATCAAAACAAACCACGGTCAATAGCTGCATATCACCATCAAATTGCTGCAAATCGTGCAGTTGCAGCAAATAGCTTTACCATGATGAAATTTTGTAGCAATCAAGGACCACTATATCAGCGCTATTGACTGCTCAGAACCCAACAGATACAGATAGCCTAGCCACTTATTACAATTTAATAAAGGTGAATGTTGTACAGCCATCAGGTCACTACATCGACAACTAAAGATGTGCTAATTCAATTTGGTCCATGTGCATTGCTCTCTTCTCTACATATCATACAAAAAGTATGTATTACTTTCCACTATGGATTTTAATAGTTCTGGAAATGGCAGCATTAAGTTTCATAACTGATCTGAGTATGAAACCTTACTTTGAATGGATGTGGAATTAACAAATATCAGATTTTCACATATTCAATTTGCAGTCCTACTCTACAGCCAAAGCACAAATAAAAGAACTTCCATAATGCTAGTATACAAAGGGGTAGAGTGTAAATCCATCTAGTCCATTCTCCAGCTTTTGTTGGTCCCTGGTGACAACAATCACAGAAAGTTCATTGCAGAAAATACGGCTGAGTTTTCCTACAGGTTACTGACTTCCTTTTGATTCATTGTATCAGGGAGGATTTGATATGATCTGTAGTGGCAGGGACAAGATTGAGACTCCAGAACAGGTTTTCTAAATATTTTACAGACCACCTGCCTTCTTACAGATTTATGATTTATGGATATTTATGAAGGAGCACTGTAAGTTGCAAACATAGAAGTAAATACTGACCAAAGTTGTACGTACTGGGTTTCAGTTTAAGCAAGCTGAAGACACAGCAGCCAAGCTTGATCTGGATGGGCTTGTTGTTATTGGTGGGGATGATTCAAACACAAATGCATGCCTTCTTGCTGAATATTTTAGGTGAATTATTTACCATAATGTATTCTAGCACTTGTGAATTCTTCTCTCTGTGTGTGTGTGTGGGCAAGAGTCTTTATTAAAAGTGCTTGCTTTGATGATAATGTAGTATGAAAGCATTGATTCTATTGTTTTGTTAATTGTTCTTGCTGTTACAACTGAACTACTTTATGCCGCAGGAGTAAGAATTTGAAGACTCGAGTCATTGGATGCCCAAAGACCATTGATGGGGACTTGAAATGTAAAGAGGTTCCTACAAGTTTTGGATTTGATACTGCCTGTAAGGTAAATGGCATTCATTTTCATGTCATCACTGTATCTCAATGCTTCTTTGTTATCTTATGAGTTAAAAATGTGAATGAATATGTAACAAACAATAATTGCCTTGATGTTTTCTTCAATGCCGAACTTGATGTATTTCATCTTACCCACCCTTTGTTGAAATTATGATATGAGTTTGTCCTTGGTTTTTCCATTTCTTTCGGACAACTGTTGGACCATTCATCGGGAATTTTTGGATTTCGAGCCAACAGATTAGTAGAGGATATTCTCATTTCTGGTACCTGGTTTATGTCTTTCGTAATCTTCATCTGTTCTTGAACTATTACTCAGTTTCCATATCCTTTACCCGCTCAGGTGTTTTAGTTTAGGATGTGTTGAGTGATGGATATTGCATGACCTGTGTGATGAGTGATCAAGCCATTATCTCACTCTAGAAACCATCAAAGTAGAAAAGGTCAAGAATTTGGAGATAAACTCTGCTTTGAGTGAAATCCTAATGCTTTGTTCGTCGTCATGGTTAACCTAATATTACTTCTATTCTAATTATGCAGATCTATGCTGAACAGATCGGAAACGTTATGATAGATGCTCGTTCAACAGGAAAATATTATCACTGTAAGCTTATTGGTCTTTACCTTCCCTTAAGAGGACTTTATCTCCACATTTCATGGTTTTGGTTTGTATAGCATCAGCTTCTTGACTGGCTTTCAACATATGGTTAAGCCGATAAGAGTGCATCAATTCTACATTCCAGTAGCTCCCCAGATGTGCAGTTATTAGACTTATTTTCTGCATTATTTGGTTATGACTGCCAACTTGTATATTCGGTACCTTTAAGTCCAATCATAGACAAAGAGCAAGGAGGAAAGCAAGCCAGAAAAAAGCATCATTGAGATAATACCTTTCATCCTAATCTCATCTACTAAAAAAGGGTCGAAAAACTTCCCCTCACTTTTCTATTGAAAAATCAAATGTATATTTTCATCCAAAAAAGCCTAAATTTATGACAAATGGGAACCATTAACTATTCGTTGGCTGAGAATTCCTGAATGATTCTTGGGTTTGAATCTAAAATTTGGTTTGCCTAATGACATAAGAAAATATTCCAAGTGCTTCTACAACTTTGGCTGGATTATATTTTGTTACAGTTTTACTCTTTCACTGTATGTCTTCTATGACCTATTACTATGAATCTTTGAGGCTAACAACATACCTTTGTACCCTCGTTAAGATGGCCATCCAGTGAAACCACATCAAATTCCCAAAGCTGTTGGCTTGAGGATATTTTGCTCCCTCTGTCCCATATATATATAGAGGGAGGATCAAACGTAAATGCTAACTATTTAAGAGAATGCGAAAACGGCCAAATCACGTGCAAAATCACATGTGATTTTACATTAACGGCCAAAAAAGGTGTGCGGGTGACTGTGGCTGCGTTTTCAGGTCGTGGGGCAAAGTCGCATGATAATATTAGTGTAAAATCACATGTGATTCGATCGTTTTCCTATTCTCTTTATTAAATACCGATCTCGTTTCGACTCTCTCTATATATCAACCTTATATCAGACTTTCACAGAGAGAAGCAACAAGTTTAATTCTAATCCAAGTGTATTTCACTTGGGCCTTTTCCTTCTGGTGAATGTCATGATTTTAATTAACTTCAATGGATCTCATTTAGTACAATGTTACAAGGCATTAGTGTTGAAGGGTAGTTTAGTTATTTTATTTTATAAGCATTCCAATCAGGGAAATTATAATTTTAATTGTCGAACACCATGAAAAGTTAGAAACACAAATAGGTTTGGATGGATGGAGTACTGTAGTATTTCTTACCTTCCATCGTTATTGAGCAATATATGAATCATGTCTTGGCGATTGCTATGGTTGTCAGTAATTGAACACATGATATTTAGTTATATAGAGGACAAATGAATTTTAGTGCAGAAAAGTTTCCTCACCATCTTTATAATTTTCTTCTTCATTTCTTGGACAGTCATCAATACTTTGTTGAGATTACAAGTATTGATTAGAGTGATTTGAAACATTAGCTAATGACATTCCACTTAAATTTGGCCAGCCTTTTACCAAGGAACACAATGATGGATGTTTTTTGTGCATGAATTGTCTCCAATATTAACCAAACTTTTGTCCAATCCATGCTGTTGTATATTGTAAATATGTTATGTGCATATTTAGTTTTAAAGCATACATGGTTGCTAATTCTAAGGTTTTTTGCAGTTGTACGCCTTATGGGACGTGCTGCTTCCCACATTACATTAGAGTGTGCTTTACAAACTCATCCAAACATCACTCTAATTGGAGAGGAGGTACCAAGGCTTCTTGTGCAGTTGCACCATATAACATATTTAGTTGCTCAATTCTTTTGAAGACGTTCGCATTTTGTTAAAATTCTCTGTTGAAAAAATGTTATATGCGTGTCAGAATTTACGATCTTAGAGACATTTAGATAAGTCTCAGTTTCTTGTAGAGAGAATGATAACAAAGTTTACCTCCATTAACCAAAGCGCTATTGGTCTAGCAATATCCAGTAACCCAACTTTCTTAGAGGTCTTGGGCTCTTGGCCTCACCAAAGGTGAGGAGGGTGTGCGATTTTAATATGCCTTATATGAATATTAGATACTTCGTAAATTTTTTACCTCCACTATCGTTAGAGTGGCACCAGTCATGCAGGCTAACAGTTGAACTACTAACTTGGCTAGTCTGCCATTGGACATAGATAAACCGATCTCCTAAAAGTCCCAAGTTATTGCATCTTTTATATATCGAACTTAACCAGTATGATGTTTCAGCTTTTATCCACGGATAACATCGTGCAATTTTTCAAAGCTACCCTAATGCTTTTTGCTGATAAGCTCACCTTACTGCAGGTTGCCTCCAAGAAACTGACACTGAAAAAGGTCACAAACTACATAGCTGATGTAATTTGTAAACGAGCTGATCTTGGTTATAACTATGGTGTGATACTGATACCCGAAGGACTTATTGATTTCATACCCGAGGTAAGGCCAGAAAGCATATTTGTAATTGAGTTGATTTCTTTACTTGTATAATTATGTTCCTGGCTGTAAACGACCATCTGTATTTCATTAGTGTGTTAAGAGAATTATTAACCATTATGTAACGGTGATTTGTAGGTGCAACAGCTTATTGCTGAACTAAATGAAATTCTGGCCAATGAAACTGTAGACGAGAGCGGCCTTTGGAAACAAAAACTTATTCCCCAGACTTTGCAGCTTTTTGAGTTGCTTCCTCCAGCAATTCAAGATCAATTGATGCTTGAAAGAGATCCCCATGGAAATGTCCAGGTATGTATCGGTGGTATTTGTTTGTCAAGCTAGCTATATAATGATAACTAGTCATGTTTGGTAAAAACTATCTGTTAAGCTAGATAATAATGTAAAATGACCTAAAAGGACATTGAAAAATACAAGGAGTCTAATTGGAATGCTACTCTGAAGTAGTTTTTTAAAAAGCTATCTTGGCTAATCAAAATAAACTCAAAAAATAAGCTTTAGCATATGGTGGCTAAACATGACCTTGGTAATTAATTTTGTGTTGGTTATTCTGATAGGCCACGTTGTTCGAAATCTGCACAGGTTTAGATCTTCCCAAGATCATTCAATCTGGTCATCCCATACATGTATTCGACATCATTCATAGAATATGGATAGAAGAAAGAACAAGATGTCACTATTATATGTATATATTTCACACAAAGAAGACAATGATTACAAGGATATGAACACCTATATATAGAGAATGAAAGGGTGCCAACTAACCATCACACCTCTTCAAGAGGTGGTTATTTGGCGGTTTTTTCCCTTCCTCTCTAACTGCCGTCGGTTATTGGAGGGTGTGTGTGTACACACGCTTATCAAATCCACAAACTAATAATAACTAACATAATGATTTTGTTATTAAGTTCCAACACATCTGATGTCTTGAACTTGTTTTTACATTAGGTTGCAAAAATTGAAACAGAGAAAATGCTTATTCAAATGGTTGAAACTGAATTAGAGCAGAGGAAGCAAGTGGGCCAATATTCACGCCAATTTAAAGGGCAGTCCCACTTTTTTGGGTACTTCTCAATCCTTTTCTTCTCTCTGCTATCATGCAATGTTTCTCAAACTTTGTTGCGAAAGTCTCGACAATTTTGCATCTAGTTCTTGATTTGATTTTTTTTATGAAATATGATGATGGTCAATTTGGGATCTCAACGTGCAGGTACGAAGGAAGGTGTGGTTTGCCCTCAAATTTTGATTCTTCATACTGTTATGCATTGGGTTATGGTGCTGGAGCTCTGCTTCAGAGTGGAAAAACTGGATTAATATCATCAGTGAGTATCTTTTAGATGGGTTTCTTCCTAATCAATGTCATTATGCTTTTTAAGCTCAATATTATATATATACATATATTATATTTTTCAGAAGAAATCATCATCCATTTACAAATTCTTATAATGGTTTGTTATCATACATGAAGGTTGGGAATTTGGCTGCACCAGTTGCAGAATGGACTGTTGGAGGAACTCCATTGACTTCATTAATGGATGTAGAGAGAAGACATGGTAAGCTAACCAATTTGTTGACAGCTATATATTTCTTCTAAAAAGTCTGCAGGGGAAAAAAGATGTACCTTTTTAAACGATCGTATTTGGCTTTTGTTTGCAAAATGATCTTTGTTTATGTGAAAATGCAAAAAGAAAACATAATATTTTGCAAGAAAGAGCGAAATGTAAATGCAGAAGAAGAAAAGCATTCAACTTGACATTTTTGTTAAAATCTCCCCATTTTGCCAAGTCTAGTGCTTTTCAATATTTTTGCTAACAAGAAGGTTTGAAAATTCAATCCCTAAAACAGATCATCTTTTCTCGTATGGGTGTTGACTGCATCTAACTGAAGAGACTGGCTATCCGAACATTAGTGATATCTTGAATTTTTGTAATATATCCTACATGTGTGTTTGGCAGGTAAATTCAAGCCTGTGATAAAGAAGGCAATGGTTGAGCTTGATGGTGAGTTCCTTAGTTTTTGTATTTTCTAAATTAAACCACTGAACGTTTCTAATTCTAAAATGCTGACTATTTATTCTAGGTGCACCATTCAAGAAATTTGCATCGAAGCGGGAGGAGTGGGCTCTTCAAAACAGATATATTAGTCCTGGTACGTACTCGCCTGCCATTGGTGTGTGTATTATGATCAATAACCATGTACTAGATAGTGGTCAACGGATATAGTATTAAACGAAATGAGCTCAGTATATCCCAACCTTTATCATTTATCACCTAAGAGTAAAACAACTATTATTGAATAGAGTATATTCATTGTTTTGGAATCTTTCCAGAGCTGGCTCCAGAAAGTAGTTAGCATAATATAAAATAAAAGAAAAACTAACTATAAAAACTATGGTTTCATTAAAGATGACAAATAAGGGTTCTTTCTTGCAATATACAAGGGATATTTTCTTAATCTTTTTACTTCTTTCTGTTGTGGGTACCAAAAACCAAAAAAGAGTTAAAAAGGGATTTGAATTTTGCAACCTATAATACCATATGATAAGACTTTACCATTCACTTTTTTGCTAAATTAGGGAGCACACATCAATTTAAAGCTTATGCACCTTTAAGACACCTAAACTTTTCCCACTGAGTCGGCACGATAGAGCTACTGTTGCTAGGATTTTGTTATATTTCATGAACCCATGGTTACTCACTGTTTAGCTTAACTTTAATTTCTTTGTTTGAATCGAGTACTTTCAGGTCCCATTCAGTTCACGGGACCAGTGGCTGATATCTCAAACCACACCTTGCTGTTGGAGCTAGGAGTTGAAGCATAGGTACATCGATGACATCTAATGTCTTTTTAGTTGAAAATATTGGACAAAATTTGGAGATGTTTTGGCAGAATTGGATTTTAAGTTGTGTTTTTTTGGCTTAGGTTTAAGAAAATTTGGCCGTGTTTTATAAAACTATTTGATATAATAAAAGGATCATGATTTATGCTGCATCTTTTGAAGCCAAGAGGATGTCATGCCTCGTTAATCTCAATTTTGTTTGCACCAGGTAACTGAACACTTATCGTCTTTTATTGGGTAAGAGACATGTAATCGGTTAGAGATAATGGTCTTTACTAGCAATATTAATTGTACCATTTTGCTGATGGAGAATCTTACCCGGTTAGTGTTTATAGGGAAAGAGATGCTTATACTGATTATGGAAAAATCTTACCCTATAAGATAAATGAGGATGGTGATTATTACTTGGTTTTTGTTGGTAAACGACTCATTTTGTAGGCATGGTTTTAGAGTTTTGGTAGGAAATGGAGTCTTGGTTTTTGGAGGATTGATGGATATCTTGAATTTAGAAATACGCTTAAAGAGCCTCTTGAGGCCTGACCTGGTCTTGTTAACAATCATCTTGTTGAATAGATGGAGGGAAGTTCATCCACACAAAAGCTTGACTAGAGTCTGGCCCAAAAAAAGTCTGGGCTTAGTGAGCCTGAAGCCTATTCTGGGTACCGAAATTTTAGGGGTAGGCTTGGGCCTAGTCCCGACTCGAAAAATCTGTCTGGAAAAGCCTGAAAGCCCCGGCATGAAAAACCGCAATTGGGCCTTTTTTCAACCAAAAAGCCCTGCTTGGGATTGAAAAAGCTCGGGCCTTATTTTGGCTCGTCGAAAACGGGCTTGGAAGACCACCTGAAAAAGCCAGACCTTGTGCAGGACAATGATATGCAAGAAAGTGAGAAATTTTTAATGTTGATTCTTCAAAACAAGAAAAATGAGAAGTTTTGATTTTCCAAAATAAGAATCTTTCAAAGTTTGTTCCCAAAATTAGATATATTTAGGGCCATGACCATCCATTTGCCTTATATCCTTATGGGCTGAATTTTAGACACCTATAGCTTGGGCCTTCTGATTGATGATTTGTGCCTAAAGATGGTTGAATTTTTATTTTTATTACAAAATTTGGGTTTTTGAGTAGGTCTTATTAGTGATGGCCAAAAACCGGTCCCAAGCCGGACCGTAACCGATCCCTACTGGTCCTGACCAACGAGTAAACCGGCCATAATCGGTCCCGATGTAACCGGTCCGGTGAAAGTCCCCTTAACCGGTCAAGGCAACCTATAATCGGTTATGCCTAGCCGGTCCCGGTTCCGGTCCCAGCCGGTCCCAACCGTTCCCTCCCCGGCCCATTAAAAAATGCTTTTATTTTATTTTTAATTTTTTTGTTATTAATATGTTATTAATATATTTGTAATATGTTATTTTTTATATGTTTTGTTATAAATATGTTTTATTATAAATACATTTTATTATAAATATGTTTAAAAATACGTTTTGTTATATATATATATATACGTTTATAAATATGTTTTATTATAAATACGTTTAAAAGTACACTTTAAAAATACGGGTCACTCAAATACACTTTAAAAATACGTTTTATTATGATTAAAATTGCATTGTTTTACAAAAATTTATTATAAAATTATTTGAAAATACATTTATTCATCAATCCTCATCGGTATCCCATGTCGGATTGACTTGAAGAGTTTCGGTCTCTTGATTTCTTCTAATAGCCTCTTGGTCTTCAAGGTCATCAATGTCGAGTTCCTCATCATCGTCATATTGTGAGCAAGTGCCTTCGGTATCGGTAGTTGGTGGCGTGCTTAGTCCCATGGAGATTTCATTTTCTTCTAGATTTTCTTCCATCGCTTCAATCTCCATCTCTAACGATGTCGTGTGTTGAATCCTATCAACGCTATCCAAATAATCCTTCAAGCAGATGCAACACTCCATGGACTCCGGGCTTAGTCTTGTCCGATGTATTGAAATGATCCTGTCACTAAGAGAAAAAGCAGACTCCTAAGCTACGGTACTAGCTTGGATTGTTAGTATATCACGTGCAATGCATGCCAAATTCGGGAATTGAGGTTGTTTTTGTTTCCAAAAATCTAATAAATCAATTTTTTCAAAATCTTCGACAGCATTTGCGGGACATGCGGCCATAAAGTTAGTATGCACATACATATTTAGTTCACCCAAATCGTTATCATATCGATTTTTTTTACTTGATTCATTTAAAACCTCGTTCATTAAATTAGTCATCAACTCTTTACGACTTTGTCGATGACCACTAGAAGAATAACTAGAACCCGCAAAACCACGACTTGAAGATATTTGTGGTTGATTTCCTCCTCCGTAAAAATATTTGTAATGATCAAATAAATCTTGAAAAATACGATTAAACAAACGTTTTTGTTCCATTGAAAAAGAATTATCCGTAGCGGAATCCAAACCAAAAGCCACACATATTTGTGTAATTAAAACTTCAACACCGACAATATTTAAATACGAGTTTAACACCGTAGCACAAAGAAAATCAAATAGGATGCCCATAAAATATTTTAACAATTTCTTTTTCATGCAAGACATCAACCTTCCCCAATCGTGATGGTCTTCGTATTGAGCAATTTTACTTGCAAAATATAGATTTGGTTTAAAACTAAAGGGCTTGTTGGATAATAAATTCCGGATAAAAGTGTTGTCGCATTTTTAAAATCACCTAAAATATCGTACAATCCTTCAAGCACGGCCCAATCAAGATTTCTAATAGATTTTGCGGGCAATAGTGTCTATAAAAAGCAAAAATATAATTTTTTTTGTTTCAACAAATTTCCAATCATAAAATAAGTCGAATTCCAATGAACGGGCATATCGAACCTCGGTCTCAAAGCTCTAAAACCGACGTTTTAGCAATACTTTCTATAGGCCGCATTCATTTTTTTTACTTTTTGTGAAAATTCGCCGCAACATAAGTCTAAACTTATCTATTATGGGTTTACAAGTATTTAAACCATCTTGAACGACTAAATTTATTATGTGTGCACAACAGCGTGTATGAAATAATTTACCGTCTAAAATAGGTGTCTGTGATTCCCAATTATCATACAAAATCAGATTAATCTTCAAGAACTCAATTGAGAGTAGAGAGAGATTTTTAACCAAGCTTGAGAATGATATTTCTTGAGAGAATTTACAAAGTGATTAACATGAACTCAATACAATTAACCAGCTAAAATCTATTTATACTAGGAAATTAACAAGGCTACTTAATACAAAGCAATTACAAAATGGGAAAACTTGAATACAACAATTAAGCACAATCTTGAACCCAACAATCTCCCCCTTTGGATTCAAGTTCGAGACATTGTGAATCTAGACTTTCTTAGCCCAAGTAGCGTCTCGAGCCTCCTTAGTGCACTCCGGTATTGCAATTTATCATCAAGCAAGTTCAGAGCATTTATCAGAAGATACCTCTCTTTCGGACTCATTCTCTCCAATTCTGTGGCTTTATTGTTGTCAGCTTTTCTCGTCTTAAGCGCTCGTCGCACCATCCTTATTGTTCCATCACAGTGCTTATTCAGCTCACGGAATCTCATAAACTTCTTTATCCAACCTTCAGCACTATACACCACACCAAATTCTGGATCTTCAAGAATAATATACAGATGATAGCCTTCAATATCTTCAAGTTCTTGGTCTGGTCTTTTCAAATTAATGATCCTCTGGTTGTCTTCAAGACCCATTTGTATGTCAAGAACCATTGATACTTTGACATGACTCCTCATATACCTCTTGATTGCATCAAGAGCAACGATTGCTCCTTCTTTTCTGACAATAAGATTTCGTAGTTCGTGGTACATGTGCTCCAGATCTTCTAAATACATATTAGAGAAATCAGCTTCGTTGAACGTCCAGACCTTTCCATCTTGTCTTGTAACTGTGAACACAGGATACCAAACTCTAAGGAGTTTTGGGGCATCAATTTGTTTGATGGAGACAACGCGATGTATGGTCCATACTTGGCTGATCGGAAGGCGCTTCGCTTTAAGAAAATGCTTATACTCCAAACGATAATCTCGGGTTTCTTTGTGAATCCGAAGAATCTTGTCAGCGCTAAGAGCTTTGCGGTGCCGAAGAAAGATATCAAAGTAAATGTCTTCCAGATAGGGTTCTCTAATCATTGCTCTATCATAACCTGGAATATTAGCACATATTGCAAATGACACGTAATTTTCAGAAAATATCTCTGTAGGATCATACACCGTTCTCAGAGTTTCTGAAGCACCAAGATCAACTGCAGTGGAAGGTTCAGACGGAGTCTGATGATCACGCTAGAATGGAAGATAGGATCATCTTCATTGATGTCAGCTTCAAAGTCAAAGTACATCCCGGATGATTCATCAATATTTTCAATGCCTTCACCAAAGTCTTGAACTCCACCCAGTTCTTTAGAGAAAGCTTCATTAAATCCCACGTTGGCAGACAAATCCAGAAGCAACCTTGTTTCTACAGTGGAGTCCGCCAGTTTTTCGACCATTGGCTCGATCACTAGATTTGTCTCCAAGACTATCTCATCTTCAACTATTATTGAGCCTGTAGTCCTTTCCCTTGTTCTTTCAGGAACAAGACTTTCAACATTAACCGCTTGAGAATCTGGCTCCCTTTCAACACTTTCAACACGAACAGACGACTCAGCCAGCCTCTGTCTTTTTCTCTCCCCCTCATGATGATCATGATAATCCGGATCATCATGTCTTCTTTTTAATGAGGTGGCTTGAGCTCGGCACGTATCTTCTAAGATCGATACCCTTTCAGATAAGGCATCAATTGAATTCTTCAAGGTTGAGTGTTTGATGTAATTAGCTTGCTAACTTTTGAGATATTAGAAGCAACTACATCTTGAAAGGCCAAAAACTCGGAGGCTCGAACAGTGGGTTGTCATCTACAAGTTGTCGGAGGAGCCCAACCAAGTCTGCATCAGCCGCATCTGGATTTTGAGTAGATATCAGCTTTGCATACAACAACGATTTAAGCTCATCCACCGATTGCTCTTGTACCCTCGGAGGCTCAGGCACAGACGGTTGTTCATCAACTACCGGTTCCTTTCCCTTCATCATCCTTTTGAGACTAAGAATTTGCGCTTCCATGTGATCTTGAACAG